AGTGTAAGTCTGGCCCGCCGCGGTGGTGTAGCAGCGGCGCTCGGCTGCCGACCTTAAGGTCGTGGGTTCGATCTCTGTAGAGGCAAAATGCTGAAGGCCCGTGTACTGTAGCACATTGTCGTCGGCAGGATTTTCTCGCTGACTCGATCGCTCACTGGACTTCGTGCCGACTGGTTGTGCCCCCGCGATCTTCGACGACAGCGCAGCTCTGGCCGACTGGCTCGCCCTACGCCATCTCCTGACGCCGACAGGAGCTCTCGCCGAGGGGTGCCCCGTCTCCGGACTTCTGCGACCGTGTCCATATTTCCTATGTTCTCCTGACTTCCGTATGTAGCTGTCTCTACGCCTCTCTACCCTCCTGCTCCTCTCTCTTTACCTTTAATCCCTCCTCCCTCGTGAGCTACTGTTGAGGTGCCCTCCCCCCCCCCTCCTCGGACTCCTGCAACCATGTCCATCTTTCCTACCTTCTCCTTACTTCTATATGTGGGCCTCTCTTTCCCTATCACTATTCCTATCCCTTTTAATCCATCCTTACCCCCGTCCCTTGTGAGCCACTGTTTAGATGACGATAGTTATAGCACGAGAACAGAACAACAAAGCGGCAAGGAGGAGACGAGCGCTGTCCCTTTGTCGTCGTTTTGTTCTCGCGCTATAACTATCCTCATGTCATACCAACTAGTGCAAACCACCACACCACTGTTGAGGTATCGAACTATGATGCAGACAGTTACGGGGCTCACTTTTATCTTCTTTTCTCTCTCTTTTAAGAATCACTTACACGCAGTATTTTCTCTTTCGGGGTGCAAACTGCTCTCCCTCTCCTCCAGCCGCGATATAGCACTAACCATTGGGTTAGCAGGAGCACTGCGCTCAAAGTGCTCTCGCGAATTGCAGCGGCTTCCAGTTGTCGAGCAGGCGCGGGGGCGTTGTGTTTCATTGGTCGAGATGGAGCACTATTTCGGCGACAAAAGCAGTTGTCGGTGTGCCTGCCCGCGCGCGTATTTGGAATTGCTGGTCCCGCATCGCACGAAAGAGAGAAAAGAAAGAGTGCAAGGAGGATGCCAGCGTCAGGATTGCTCGCGTGCTATTGGTTCGCCTCTGGAGGTGACGTGCAGGTGACAGGCGCGCTGGTGCAGCAGCGACACCGACTAAACTTGCACAGCTGCACCTCATTTTCAGTCATGCTCCCCGCTCCTCTCCGACTAAGCGGCGCAGCCCCCGCCATAATCCGTGGTAACGAGGGACGGGGTTGGGGATACACAATAGGGGAGCGAAGAAAAGACTTCTGTTGTGTGGAGCTAGGGCTCGAAATTACCATATAACGTTCAATCACATGCATCGCACTTCTGTCACACACCAGACCAGTTCCAACTGCCCTTGCAGAAACGCGATTCCGACTGTAATGGCAGACGCTCACGTCTGAATTAGACGCGAACACATCAAACGTGAAGCGTGTTTCGGTCAACGACGCAATTCCGAATGACATGGAAGCCTCGCGCACATTTACGTGCGACATAGACGCCAGTTTGGCCGGGCCATCTGACGTGAAGTGTCTCCTCGTCGACCTCTGCAGGGACGGATGTGCACGAATGGCTCGCCAGCTACATCAAGGCAAGTAATACGACAATCCACGTCGTACCTTGCTGCTCTCTATGCTAAAGGCGTCGTGGAGGCACTTCACGTTGGCAGTCGGAACCTCTTCGCTCATTGAAACCATCACCGTGCTATCACCATCTTATCAAAATTCACTCGCTCGCGCCCTCGCCGCACGGTAGCGATCCATCCAAGACACCGAAGGGGCGAGGGTGCTTCCGCCCGATGGAATAGCTGTAAACAGTTCTCTGTGTTTCCGTGACTCTGCGACGATGACAGTGACTGCCAGCGTGTGTTCGAGAGATCGGTGGCTGAGTGAAAATTCGCCCCATGTCTTTGCTTCAAATGACCACGAAGCGGGCAATCTTGGGGGAGTTAACAATGACCTCTCCGAGGCTTCCGCAGCGTCTGAATAGGCCGCTCAACCACCCAACTGAAGTCTTTTCTTCGCTACGTTATTGTGTAACCCAGACTCCGTCCCTCGTTACCTCGGATTATGGATTATGGCAGAGCGGGGAGCATGGCTGAAAATGAGGAAAATGAGCGCGCGCGTCTCCAGCACGTCACCTCCAGAGGCGAACCAATAGCGCGCGAGCAATCCTGAGGCTGGCACTGGCGTCCTCCTCGCACTCTCTTTTCCTCTTTCGTGCGATGCGGGGCCAGCAATTCCAAATACGCTGCGGGCGTAGCAATTTCAAACGTGCGTAACGTATCCGCGAAGCCGGCGTGCAGGAAAAAAAATGGTCACATGACGCCTGACATCAAGCGCTCCCGCCAATATCTCTACTCTCGGAGCAAGATGATAGTTCCATTCGGGAGACGAGAGCACACGTCCCCGCTATGCCCGTGCGCTGCTCGTTTCGCTTGATCGTGCTTACCCAATGGAAAGCAAGTGCTGATGAGGCTTGAGGGGGCAAGTGCCCCTTTTGCACCCCCATGCCGATGCACACGGTACTGTACGATGCGAGTGCTCGACAACGAACCTTAGATGGTCGAACTTTCAGCAGCCCTCACCTAAGGCATATCTAGTAATCGTATCGGGAATATTTTCGAGTATAAACTTGCCCCTTGGTCCCCACCGTCACTATATGAAATGCAACAGGTATCGCAAGTGAGCATTGTCAAAACTTGCAGTCATGACCGTGCACATCAATACAGTAAAATGTTGCCCAAGCAAATTGCAAACTTCCAGTTTGATCCTATTGGAACCAATTAAAAATTTCCAATTTTGTTCTGTGAAATCCACTGGAAAATGTCAAGGAGTTCGAAGAGTCACCTGGTGCATTTTAAATGGTCCTGACCAACCTAATGAATTCGTGGCACAAACAATACAAATGGTTTGACCAAATACGCTAATTAGTGAGGGCAGTATACCCAATTGGAATTGCCAATAGCTCTGAAATAGGGGTATAACAAGTTGGTCTCAATGGAGACACATCAAAAGCTTTGAAATATTTCACAAGAAACCATGTTCAGTGATGAAAGTGCTTTTTTACTTTTTGGAGCATACTTTGGAGTAGGAAAAGCACTGCTTTGGAGAAGCCATAAGTGTTATCGGAACAGAAAAAAATGCTAGTTTAAGAGAGAGCAGCTATTGGCGTTTTATACCCCTGCCACACGGGCACCCGCGAAGACCTTTTAACTCCCTCGTCCTTAAGACAACGAAGATGCGGTTCGTGTCACACGACCACCCTTACGCAAACGAAGGTAAACTGAGCATTTCGCAAAGGACGTTCAACGATCTCCCTTCGCAGCGAAACGAGGTACTCTCGTCCCCAGCAGTCTAGAGATCAGAGAAAAATTTCGAGCAGTAAGTGGCCGCAGTGAAAGAATAATACATTTTGGCAATATTAAAAGTTCTTTCGTTGTAGTACTCATTCACAACGCGCGTTTGTTTACAAATATTTATGCCCGCCAGAGTTCACTTACTCTCAACACCAATGCCCTACACACCGTTCCTTGCGAGTCGGGCCGGCCGGCGCCAGCCGATCAACATCAATACCAGCGCAATATTGTACCACTTCCTCACGTCGTCCGCTGTGTCACTCATGGCTGAAGAACACAAAATGCGCTCACGAGGCAAGGAAGCATAAGAACTTTCGTACCGGGCATGTACACAGGGAACAAAACAACTAAAAGCACAATGTGGCCAGCGTCACTAGCAGCATCGCTACATTTAGCAAATGCGTTTTTATTTGAAATTATTTTAATGATTTGTTAGTCGCATACATACTTAATAGAGCTATGTAAAAACCGCATAACGAGGATTCACAAAAAATCAATACAGATGAAATTAGAATACTTTTCCGAAAATCAAACAGCGCCCGCTGAGCCCCCTCGCGGCAACTGTTACAACCTTGTCGCTGCCGTGTGACACTGCCACAACTCCTTCTCCGTCGAACCCCCTAGGGGAGATTTACGTTGACGGTGTTCAATGGAGTTTGGTGGTGACCGTGTGACAGGGGTATTAGGAACAGATGATAAATTTGCCATACAGTATTTGGAGCTCAGAGCATTGTCCAAACATCTCGTGAATACTATTTCTTATGAAATATATGTAACAGACAACAATCAATGTAAACATTATGTAGCAAACAAAAGCAGGTTGTCAAAAATGTACTGTGAAGTGAGCTACAATTCAAAATACTAGTATTTGTGGCAGAAGTCAAACCAAACCAAAAAAGGTCAGCGCCACATTTTAGAAGTAACCAAAGTTCCATATAACTATTGCCAAATAAGAAATAGATAATCGGTATGAAATAAAAGCAATGATGCTCATTTTCACGTTTCACCACACTAGCCTACATGTCTAGCTGAGAAAAAAAAAAAAAAAACAGTCAAATGAGCTACATGCTTAATATCCCAGTTCTTGTCACACAAATGTGATCAGAGCCGATAATGCTGCACACTAATACCACACTGGGATCATAGTACACAGATTATTCTGTTTCTAGACTTATGCGTCGGTCAAAGAGCAAAAGTTCGTCGTTTTCATCATCTCAGTGTCATTTCGGAGCAGGTTTGAAGCAATTAATAACAAAAATTACTGCTAGGAGCAACATGGAGCAGCAATTCTCTTTTAGGGCAGTTTGGAGCAGCACTTCCATCACTGCATGTTGAACTAATAAACATAGCACTACCTGTGGACAACTGTAAAATGAAAACAATTGCTACATGTATGTCATGCTCATTTGATTACACGTAACCTCGCTAGCGCTAAAGAACTCGTACAGTCAAGTGCCTTTTCAAGCACACTACCAAGCACGCCACACTCCAACTTTAGCAGCACTGACAGCCAACAACACGGGCCTTATGATGTGGCAGTTCATAGTTATTGGTGCACTGTCTTCGAGAAGACATGCATGCACTTAACTATGATGCAAAATCTACACATATGTACTGCTGGCTCCCATAAAAAAAATTCCTCGTGCTGGCACATTTTCAGCACACTTTATTCACCACACAATGATTACATAACACATTCAGTGAACAGATGCAAGTGGAGCAGTATACTTTGGTTGGGGTTACTACAAACTTGATCCTCAATACAAGTTACAACACATGCTGCACCATTACAATGGCCTATCTCGCGAGTGTACACTAAGAACCAGTGCATTTGCACACATGACACATAACAGCTAGCTCCAAACATCGCACAAAATCCCAGCCCTCTTCGGCTAGATCAAGCTGCTTAACCCCAATGACTACTATACTGCATTTTCACACACCCACACACACAATCTATAAATATGTTGAAAAAAAAAAATGTTCCAGCCCGAAAGGGACAATTTACAAGAAGATAGTACTGTATAGGCTGAAGAATATTACAGACACCCAGTGGCAGTAATGCAGGTAGACAAAAACCATGGAACAGAGCTGCTTAAGAATACTTCAAGCAGCACTTAACAAGAAGTTTGGGGAACAGGCTTCACAAGCAAATAAAAAGAGGTAAAAGTGCAGCAATACAACAACTTTATGAAAAAAAAAATATATAAAGGAAAGCTCACACTCTGTGAGAAAACTCCCACACATGTAAAATACCTGCACGCATATTTCAACTTGAGCAGAGTGCGCCCTCAATCAACACCTTAAAAAAATAAAAGGGCAAGAACATATTGATACGCCTAAACATTTGTGCAACTACACAAAAAAAAAAAAAAGGGAAGTGATCAGTTGTCACAAAAGCCTTAGGCAATGCAGTGGATATAGAGAGCAAGTGACAAAAAGGTTACTGTCCTGCATATCCCCAGCACATGTGTCCTGCCATTCCTCTGCCCCAAACGCACAACACCCATCAAGGTTGTTCAAAGTTGTACACCTCTGTAACGATGTATAGCTTCGGAATGGTGCACGGTGGAAGATTTGTTCTGCTCAACTGGAATGATCTTTCACATTATCCTGAACAAGCTACAGACAATAAGAGTGTGAGGGAGTTTGCAGCATAGAGAGGAACAGCCTCCAGACATTGACAGAATGATGGCCGAACCTTCATTTCAAGCTGCCTTTAGCTGGGTGTAAACTTGTCGCCCGATGGTGCCTCGACGTCTCCACTGGACGGAACCAGGTTGGCGGTACTTGTGGCACGAGCTCTCATTTCATCGGCACTGGCTCTACAAGAGGCAATGAACCAACATTTCAGTAAATGCTATCTTTACAACAATACAGACATATCTGTTGGCACGCAATCGTTTGAAAGCTGCAGATTAGAAGGCATTTAAAAGCAAGTCTATAAGTGGAAACAACCTTGCGTCACAAAGAAGTATCGGTAAATGTTTTGATTGAAGTGTAAGCTAACATACAAAAATAAATCTGTGAATGTTATTGTACATTCCATCACCTACCGGTTCACAATAATTTGTAAACCACTCTTCACAAATTTAATTAAGGACTTTCGCTGTACTCTGGTCTTGCCAGCCGCTCACTCCTGGAGACTTCAATGTATGCTCTCTTTAATGTTATAAAAAAGCATTAAATAAAACAGACAGTGATAGCCAAACTGTAACACTCACTTGCGACCCATGGCCATGATTCCATAAATGCATCCAGCCACAAATACCAAGCCACCACCAAAGAAAGTAGTGATGCCATGACACAGTGCCACAGGTAGCACACCACCTCTGAAACAACAACGTGTAAAACAAGAATTCTCACTTGGTCACATAAACAAGTGAATGGCACAAGTTACATATGGCATAGTACGTTTGCTGGGCATGGTCTCCGAGGACAAGCTCAATTTTTGCTTACTTCAAGCATGAAAATTATAATACACAGAACACCTTGCAGTTTTGACATATGACGAATTCCATTGAGAGAACAGGAGTAGAGGGGCAGGGCCGTGAGGAGTGGGAGGCAATCACTGAGCGCGGAGCCACTCAACCTACCATTGGAATGCGCCGCGCTCCCGGAGGGCTGGTGAGAAGGTGACGAATAGGGAGACGACCACGTGACAAACATTCCAAGCCCCGGCATATTCTTTGTGGGGCAGCAGCAAAATACGCGTGAAATCGGTCAGCCACGTGTTCTTCATTATCCTGTAATACTTAGTATGTTTGCGCAATGATTCATTCGGCAGATGTTGTGGGGGTGCTGACACCCCCCCCCCTGTAAAGTTGTCTGCGCCGCGTGGCGCACGTGTCTCGCCCCAAGGCTTTATTGCGGTGGTGACCACCGCCGGGCGATAGATGGCGTTGTGTTCGCTTTCAGTACCACTGTTGGTAGAGTGCATGGTAGCGCCGGCGGTGGCCCCTGGCGGAAGGCAGGCCTTGGCGGTGGGCGAGAGTGGAGCGAGCCTCTTCTGCGCGTGGCGGCTGCCGCGAACGGTTGTCTGTAGCGCGGGTCCCCGGTGCTCGGCACCGCGGGCTTCGCGCCGGGGTCCCGCGTGTAAGGTCAGGCGTTGGCGACGCCGCCTTGGGTATGTGCTAGTGTGTTGGGTGTGTTAGTGTGTGTTTATCATGTTATTGTGTGTTTAGTGTGTCCCTGCGTTATGTTGTTTGTATGGTAGCGTGTTAGTTAAAATTGATGTAACATTCGGCGGACGATATCGTCGTCTAAATTAGTTAATAAATGTATGTATGTTGTGTGCTTTGTACCGACCGTGTCAACTGTGTCCGTTCACTCCGAGAGCGTGGCGTGGCGGTGCGCGCGCTCGCCTCGCCGGGACCCCACACTGGCGCCCAACGTGGGGCTCTTGGAGTATCGGACGACAGTTTTTGCGGTTCGGTACAGGGATTTTGTTAGAGCCGGAGAAGAGTAGGCCTAGGGGGGACTTCTTTGCTGGCGTCGGTGGTGTGCTTTGTTGAGATGCGAGGGGATTGGTTTTGTAACGTGTTTCAATTTGTCGGCAAGTTGACTTTCTATTTATTTTTTTTGCTCGCAAGTGTTGTTATTTTTGTTGTTAGTTTTCAAAAACGTTGTTGAATTAGGACGAGAGCCATGCGGTCCGCATCCTGGGGTGAGCAAGGCCTAGAGCACGTGGTTTGTAGGCCAGGCCCGAAGCGAGTGAGTACGGAAGCCTCGTGGGTGGTCCGATTTTCTGTAAATAGCTTCTTCTATATCTTTCGGCTCAGGGAGCCGGTCGTCGTTGCTGACTTGTATTGCGGCTCGACGCCGGGGCGTCGTGACACCGCCCGGGGCGGTGGACGCCGATCGCTCGGTAAGCTGCTGTGTGCGGCGAGCGATAGGGCCACCTCACAGAGTGGACGTCTCCTCGCGGCTGCCTCTTCTGCGCCTAGGCTGGGTGCTGGGTGGATGCCGGTTGTTGCCGAGCGACTCATTAGGCCTAAGGCTCTGCGCAGCCGCCTGTCGCACGTGGCACAACTAGGTGGATCGTAGCGTTGAGGTGTTGCGCTCTGCTTCCCTCACTTTTTTTCTTCTTGCGAGCACGAGTTAGGAAAAGTGATTTTTGTTTTTATTTTGATGGGCGTCTCGGCCGCCACCGATGTATTAGCTAGCAGTACTGACCACCATACCACGTGGCCGAAAAGCCTGAAGCTCCCTCCCCTGGGCCGCGCTCCATTGTTTCTTTCGAGTTTTGTTTTTTGTTGATGTATTCAGCGGGAGGGATGTCATCCACGGCCGGCTGTCCTGCATATCGTCAGCGTCACTGGCCAGGAATGCGGTCGTGAGGCCGGGGCGATGGAGATGCCTGGGACCTGCGCAACTGCCTGCAGTCCGGCGCCCTCGCGAGTGCTGGTCGCAACTGGAAGACGTGTCGGTGCTAGCGACGGATCGTCGCGCCGACGGCAACGTTGCTGTTGCGGGGCCGGTACTGGGGTGAAGCCTGGCCGGACAGTGCAGCAGTGTCGACCAGCGGCGGTGTCGTGGTGCAAGGACATTATGGTCGTGCGATATCATTTTTTTGTTAAAGCTTGTGTAGCTAATTTTCGATTTTGGGATATGGTTTGATTTAAGGTTGGGGGAGTGTGGGGGTGCTGACACCCCCCCCCTGTAAAGTTGTCTGCGCCGCGTGGCGCACGTGTCTCGCCCCAAGGCTTTATTGCGGTGGTGACCACCGCCGGGCGATAGATGGCGTTGTGTTCGCTTTCAGTACCACTGTTGGTAGAGTGCATGGTAGCGCCGGCGGTGGCCCCTGGCGGAAGGCAGGCCTTGGCGGTGGGCGAGAGTGGAGCGAGCCTCTTCTGCGCGTGGCGGCTGCCGCGAACGGTTGTCTGTAGCGCGGGTCCCCGGTGCTCGGCACCGCGGGCTTCGCGCCGGGGTCCCGCGTGTAAGGTCAGGCGTTGGCGACGCCGCCTTGGGTATGTGCTAGTGTGTTGGGTGTGTTAGTGTGTGTTTATCATGTTATTGTGTGTTTAGTGTGTCCCTGCGTTATGTTGTTTGTATGGTAGCGTGTTAGTTAAAATTGATGTAACATTCGGCGGACGATATCGTCGTCTAAATTAGTTAATAAATGTATGTATGTTGTGTGCTTTGTACCGACCGTGTCAACTGTGTCCGTTCACTCCGAGAGCGTGGCGTGGCGGTGCGCGCGCTCGCCTCGCCGGGACCCCACAATGTCCAGCTGTCATCTTAGCAATCCATACTAAACAGCAGTGTCAAACTACACATGATTGCTACCATTGCCACCGCGCTTGCCGGCTGAATAAAAATTAGGAACTGACGTTAGGGGCCATGTGACTCGTGGTACTCCGCCTACTCCACTTTTCAGGCGAGAGCACTACTAACTGCTCCTGGCTGCTCTCAGTATAGCAGAAGCACTCTCGCTCTACCAATGGATGACAGTGCTCCTGCACCTGTTAACCACTGAAACACGCCGGCTTTGAAGAGAGCACTTTCGGCATGCTTTTGAGTGCTCCTGCTCTCCCAATAGAATTCGCCAGTAGTCATTACAGTGCACACATCGAATTACAAACTGCGGTTCTACTTCGCAGGAATTCCACTCTAATACTAATTCTACACAGCAGAGCCGTGGCGTAGCCAGGCAGTGGCACACTGGGCCCGCCTAAAAAAAAAATTGGTCTACACACCTGCTGTAGAGCTCTTCGAGTTATATTTACATAATGGGCCGCATAAAGTGAGCATCTAGATCTGTTTATATTGATGATTTATTTTTTTATCTCCATTGTCATTAATTTTTCTCAGACAAGTTGATTATGGGATGAGAAAACAAAGGCCAAAGTTTCATGCTGATTTTAGCGTAGAAATCGCGGCACCCATGTCAGTGTGGCGTCATGAAATTGAAAGACCCCCCCTCCCCCCCCATAATTTTGCCACACTGGCGTAGAGCCTCTGGCTTCCTAAGAATACAACATAAATCATTTTTTTGTTGAGAAAGAATTATTTAGGCCCTCACAGATGAATTCAATGTCTATGCGTTAACAGTGAAAGTTGGTGGGAGAACCTGAAGGCAGTGTCACCCCTCATTTTCTTTCAAGTTCAGTTTTTTTTTCTTCTTGCGGTAAGAGTTGTGCTTTTGGCAATATGAAAGGGCAATTTAGTAGTAAGGGAACAACTGCCGTCCTCTAGATCATCTCATTAAACTCAGTGCCTGTGAAAGCACTTATGTAGGTCTACCAATTTTCACCAAGACACAGCCGTTTCAAAATGTTGGGTGTTTTCATGTACACGAGCCATAAAAACTGCACTGTACTTACACTCCATACAGAAGGGCCTTGTACCAGTAAGGTTTGCGGTCAAAGAAGTTGCCCGGAGCCTGGGCGAACTCGAGAAAAGCACAGAAGCATGGTGCTTCAATCAGCGCCACCATCATGCCAACAATCCTGGAGGAAAGAGTGCCAGCATTGTTGCCCAGTCAGCAATGTTCATTATGAAACATGTTCTGTCAATATCAGCAATAACGCAACTTAAGACCTTGGGAAGCTCTTGACTTTAAGTACCACTACTAGTAAAACCTAACTAGATCAAGCAGAGGCTTAGGAGTATTTGAAATTGCTGATGCAAGTTAGACAGTCTTAGCAATTATTGCTCCACCGTAGTGGTTTAGTGGCCAAGGTAATCCCCACCGCTCGCGGGACTGAATCCTGGCTGCGGCGGCTGCATTTTTGATGGAGACAAAAATGCTGTAGGCCCGTGTGCTCAGATTCGGGTGCACATTCTTTATAAAGAACCCCAGGTGGTCAAAATTTCCGGAGCCCTCCACTACGACATCTCTCAATCATATGGTGGTTTTGGGACGCTAAACCCCACATATCTTTATCATTAGGAATTTTTACCCCAGGATTCACTACCTGAATGGGGTTGAATGTTATTCACCCTTTCATATAAGGCATACCAGCTCCTAAATAGCACTTTAGAGAATCAACAGAAGAGGAGACTGTCCAAAGATTCTGATAACAGAATCTTTGTACAGCCTGTGGTGCACAGAATGTCTCCTCGAATGCAATGAGCACTGTAAAGGTTTTTCTTTTCATAGTTGTTCATATAGCTCAACAGTTAAATAAGAAAATATTTTAAGCAGCCTACCAGTGTATCTCACAATGTACGCAGTGCAAATTAGTTTTGAGAAACCACATTTATGTGCGTTTTTAAAACAATGCGCAGAATAGATTTGCCAGCTACAGCACTACAATGAGCTGTGCCCTGCCTCAAAGCAGCCCATTAGCTCTTCTTGAGACAAAACATCCAGTTCGAGCAACTTCGCATGCATACGCACGCATATGTGCATACTTTTTCACACCAAGTTGACTGAATTTTCCCACTTCCCTCTCTACAAATGGCAGAACAGTCGGTAGAAGACGCTCCTGTTCGAACACCACTATCATCCTGTGTGAACACGAGATTGTACCTAACTTTCTCCGCGACTATTATTGAAGTCTATGCGGGGGCCCTCGTAGGTGAGAAAATGCAAATGAACACGCACAACAGCAAGAAATCCCCCCCCCCCCCCTTTTTTTTTCATTATCATGCTACACGCAACGAAAAGAACAGCTGTACCAACTTATTTCAAGCTGACAACTGTCAGCATGACAACTGTCTCTTCTGAAGCGCTAGGTATTAATTCGTAAGCGAATACATGCCATCGCTTACATTTGCAGAATAGCAGCCAAGAGGCATGCCGATGATATGGTGACAGCAGAGAGCACTGCTAACTGCGCGCCGAGACCAATGGCAACTGAAAAAGAATTTGAACCGAGATGAGTCAACCCGAACCCCCATCCACATGATCTCTCGTATCACACCCAAGTGAGTTCTACAGCGGCATCGAAAGGGCAACAATCTTACGGATAAGACATGTTTCAGTCAAGCACTGCGTAGGAGCTGGAAATCAAGGCATTCAGCTTACAACTACACATTCGAATTATATTAAAAGAAACGTCACCACCCGACACATGCCTTTCATGCAATTAAGCTTTCGCAGCGCAAATCTAGAATATTTCGTTATCAACATTTCACATATTCGCATGACATCGCGGAGCAGCTGGCGCGCACGAAACCGCAGATGTCCTCGGGCCCGTAGTCAATTCATACCGCTCAGAAGTTCAGAACAAGGCAAATTAGGTAACCGCTAAAAACCCCAGATCGTCCACGCAATACAGAAAAAAAAAAAGCTAGGCTAACATATGGCCAGTGGCTATACGAATTTAGTTGGGCTCACAAAATGCGTCGCGACGGCCTACACCTCGTCCTTTACATCAAACATGAAACCGCTTCACACAGCCGGCCTTGTATTCCCGAATAAAGGACATATCGCTTGTCAGCTGCATCGCTTTTCAAGGTGTAGTAGCGATGCAACTTTCGAAGCAAAGTGTTACAGCACAGCGAAGTCCCTAAAGAGAATAAATTAAAAAATTCGATTAGGCTTACCGAGTGCACTGACAGTTCCTACGAACCTGCCTAAGTACCGTAGCCACCACGGTGCGTCATCGCCGGGTCCCCCGGGACCTTTGTCGTCGATTTTGCCGACGTTGGGAAACATTGCTGACGGTTCGGCGTGCCCTAAGAACGAAACTCACATAGTGCAACAGCCGCAGACGGCTGCTGCTGCTGAAAATCAGCTGCCAACGTAGGATAGAGCAGTCGCGCGCTGCGGCGGCTACGGCCCCCCTACTGCCCACAACGATGTGACGTCAGCAGTGACGGTACTTCCAGCACTTCCTGCTTCCGGCTTTGTCGCGCGCCGTGTGGTGCAGAGCGGTTATACGGACTACGGACCCTTGAATACGGTCCTTAGCATAGAGGGAAAGAAGTAGGAAGGTGCTTCACGTGCAAATTTTAAAGCCCCGCCATAAATAAATGAAAAAAAAAAGAACATGCTGGGAAGTGAGCCCCGAGTACAGAGAACGAAGAGGTGTGTCCGAGGGCCTTGGCTTGTGGGCGCGCGCTCGCTCCGCAATTTTGTTTTTGTTCACGAGCCCACTGAAAAGGGAAATGAAATAGGCGCATTACAGTAAATGAGCATGGACGCGAGGTGCAAGCGATGTCAGAGGAGGTTGGTTTGTTGACGCAAGGCATGCTCCTTGCTACTTTTTTCTTTCCTCCATGGTACCTACAATCGTATTGATAGCAGTGGTAGGCTGACAGGTGGAGGTGTAGCCGACAAACACTACACTGGCTACATTTCCGCCAAGCATCCAAACAACACTTGCATGATGCTTGCTAGCTTTTTCTCACAAATCTACCAACTAGCACCTTCACTCTAGACTCAGGCGTGCTTGCAATGAAGAAACAACTTTAACAGTTGAAGCATGCGCATAATCTATTCCTTCAGCAATACTCCCGCAATGACATCTTTACCGTAATGATTCACCATATAATTATCTGACAATGTAGAGAGACTGCGCCTTCACTTTTACCACCCGCAGAACCCAAATAAAAGTTCACTGATGCTCTTGCATTACACCAGTGGAATTCGGCCGCCCTTGACTAGGCATTGAGCTGCATTTTTACAGCTGGCAATCTTTCCAGAAAAATAACACTAACAATTCGGGTCTGAAATGCCAACATTTACAAGAAATGCAAAAGGAACACCAGTAATTTGTCTCATGATCCACTTAATTTTGTCAACACTTCATCTTTTGTCATTACCACCTTATCAAAGCATGACAGCTGGAGCAAAAGGTTGAAAATGAAAAAAATGATTAGCTTTGTTCAGAATCAAACAATACGGCTTCTGCTTGGGTTATCTGGCATCAGCAGTGTTGCTCATTGCACTTTACTTTTGACACAAAAGCTCAAGTGAAACCTTACATCCTTATATGTATTTTGCTTTGTACTCTATGTGCAAAAATTACAGCACAGCTAAGAGGAGGAGGAGGAATAAATGAAGGACAGGGAGGTTAACAGTTAAGAGAATTACTGCAAAAGAATAAGGACCAAAGCTCACGTTTCAAGTGCCTTGGTAACTGCACTGGGCATTCCGGTATGCCATTCCGATGTTTAAGTGTACCAGCTAACACTGTCTCAAATGAGTAGCTACAAACAATTTAAAAAACCAGGCATACTAGAAAAATTGCAGGCAGAGTGAATACCCATTTCTCATGCACTTTTGGCTCACGAGGTAATTTGTGTGATGCAATTTATTTTAGAAAGCAGTACTCCAAACAGATGTATGTACAAAAACTTTATTAACATTTCTACTCAGAGCCAACATCAACATGAACTTTCCCTTGTTTCATACAAAGCCTCTGTGACCAGTGGTAAAAAAAAAGCCCAACAAACCCATTGAAAGGCAAGGCCATAACCATGCGCACAAATCTGCACCTTCAGAATGTTTATTATTATCCAATGTTCAAACAGTTCCTTTCTTTTTTTTCTAGAAGAATAGTAGCTAATTAGGAAACATTATAAGCGGAATTGCCAATAGGGGCCCGAAACATACTACCAGTGTACAATTTCCCTGGCACGTGGTGTACCAAGAACACTCAGCAAGGCCTATAAACTGGTGTGCGAAATAGGGTTCTGCCTTGAGCCCCCAAACCCTCAAGCTTTAAGTATGCTTCTAAGTGTGAGGCTCGACTGCTGCTGCTCATAATAGGTCGCTCGTCTTTTCATCGGCAACATTAATCGGAGGCTTTTCTTCATCAGCCTGAACAGTGCCGCTCAACTCCAGCTCTTCCAGTGGCAGACTCTGCTGCCGTTCGGGAGAGCACACTGCCTGCTCTGCTTCCCTGAGCATGTCCGAAACTGGTGTCATCTCAGTGTTCGAAGTGTAAGAGCCCAACAGCCCCGTAGGATCAACTGTGGGACTGTTTCCGTCGAGCTCCATGCTGGCACACATGTCGTCGTATCCGCCGGATGCTGCACAAAAAGACAAAGCAGAGAAGATGTGTTATTACTAACGAGGTTAATAGCTTTAATTCTGTCCATGGAAATATGATAGAACTGTCAGCATTTAAAAGGACCCTGCTACACTTCTTCAGCATGGTCGGAAAACGCTACTGATCGGTAGTCTAGGCTTCCGGCAGCACACGGCCTCATATTGACAATTTTTAAAGTGACCAAGAAATCATTCCCTCTTCTTTAAACATATCAAAACACTACACCATATGCCTAAATTAACGGCTACTGGCTGATCCAAGCTTTGTGAGCTGCTCAGTAATTGAGGCCAACCCCCGCAGGCTCGTGATCAAAGTCAACTATGCGTTTGCGGGGAGGGGGGGACCAAAAAAAGGCTTAAGGTCATGAGGCGCACGTGATGTAACTTCTTTTTCTCGTGCCATCCCTCCCTGCTTAGCTTTGAGTGTAGCAATCAATACGAGAGAAAGCAATTACGGTGTGTGACTCTGCTTGCACCTGACGGATTTTAGAAATTTTGGTGGCAGTTGATTAGTGAAGCAATAAACTCACTTAATGAAGCCATTTGATGATTACTTGAAGGAGTGCTACAGGGCCCCTTTAAAAGAAAATAGTGGGCTACTTGGTGACCCAAATTGCATGAAAGAAGCAGCACACTTGAAAAGAAGACACGCTTTCTCACATCAGTGCATGTCGTCTTTTGTAAGTGTTTGAATGCACTTTTTTGACAGGAGCGCTACTTCTTCCATGTTGTCAGCATATTTCTCGTTCACGGCCAAAACCTTGTGAAATGATATGAACATGTAGTGTTGCCAGTCGGTATTGTCAGCATGATGTGTCATTCAAGACCAAAGAGTACATGGTGTACATGGCCAGAGCTTCATCAACCCAGCGAACAGAAGCAGTCATGTTGCTATTTCATAAGAATATGCTTACGAATTCACTCCAACTTTTTAATGCAATGTCACTCAAAAGTACTAGAAAAATATTCTAGAAATATTCTAAAAATATTTGTTTCGATGTGTACTCACACTTCAATATATGAGTTAGCTTAGCACCCAAAATTTTGCTATTCATACAGTTGTAATAAACATTTCTAGTAAACAAAAATAGGTTTTGTACATTTATAGGGGCTTTGTTTGGCTAATGTGTGACAAGTTTTTCTGTTTTTTTTTTCACCAGTAATAAATGGTCTTGTAAATAAGCCATGCACAGTGAATAACAAGTGAATTATAATAAAAAAAATCTCACATTATAGCAGTTCATAGTTCACCGTAGCAAGATATGCTGTTTAACAGACTAGACTACTCCTACCATGTCTGGTGAATACTACATGACATGTCACCTTAGACGACGACAACAACAACAAAGTGTGCACGCGACTGCACTGGCACTGTGGCACGAGCGCGAGCCTTGAGCCAAACGCAGGCTTGTGGTGACTCCAATGCCTGAGGTATGCTGTTAGCTTGTTCATGCTTCCTGTAGTTAAGTCAAGTCATCTACAACCACAAGCGGCTGTACAGATGTAACAGTTGGTGACCAGGAAGAATGGAATCATCGGCCCTCCACCAGTGTCAAGGAAATGACATGGCAACGCTTGACTTTGGTTAGCTACTTAAATTCAGTGGCAGCTCTGGCTTCTGGAGATCCTGGTATGGGAGGCCACATTTCTTCAAGGCTAATGACGTTATGAACATTTTGAAGAAACGTGCTTATCTGCCAACGCTGCACCGGGAACTGACAGATGGCATCGTCTGTGTCCTCATCCAACGCAAGCAGCCTAACCGGGTAAGCTACGAGGACATAATTGAGAAGGCTCACTTTGACCTACAATCATCCGAGGTCTTTTGCAGGGCACAGTTCCAACGATGTGGCCAATGGCAGGGCGAAACAGTCAGTGATTACGTCACGGCACTCAAGAAGCTATTGGCAGATTGCAACTTCGTGACAAGTGCAGACACTACGGGGAATCCGACAATGCTGCCTCTGGACGTAATGCTGAGTGATCGTTTCATTTGCAGTCTTTGAAATGAGCAGGCCCAGTAACAGCTGTTCGCATGAAAGGACTTGATGTTCAAGAAAGCTTTCCACCTCACACTGCAGTGCAGGATGGCGCAGTGGAGAAACTCACTGGAGATGAGTTTGCTCTTTACCGACAACGAGTGACCCAATAGCGTTTCAGCGCGAGTGCATCCCACTTGAATCACGGCTCATCATAGTGAGCTTGGCACAATTCCATGCTGTGGCACTTCTGCATGCTGGTCACCGACGCATGGTAGCCCCAAAGAAATACGCAAGGAGCTAGGTATGGTGGCCCGAAATTGACAACGTAATCGAGGAAACGGTGTGACAGTGCTGCGAATGCCTTTCAACGCAGAAGAGCCCCCCTAAAGCTCTTATTTCTCTCTGGGACCGTCCCCAGACATTACAGAACACTGTGCATGTTGACTTGGCGGGGACACTACTTGGGCGCATCTACTTGGTTGTTGTGAATGCATACACAAAGTGGGTCAAAGTCCGGCACATGACGCAAACAACATACGCCGATGTCATCGACGTGTTCCAAAGCCTCTTCACAACGTTTGGCATTCCCCAAGTGGTTATCTTCGAAAAAAAAAACTTAATCTCCAACGAGATGAAGCAGTACTATGCGACAAACGGCATACAGGCTGTAACTTTACCATGGTACCACCCTGCAACAAACGGCCAGACAAGACGCTATGTGGCGCAGCTGAAAATAGCCCTGATGAGGGATGCAAACTGTGAGGATGCTGACACCCCCTGTAAAGTTGTTTGCACCGCGTGGCGCACGTGTCTCACGCAGAAGCCGTATTTCGGGGGTCACAACTATTCAGCGGTAGGTGGCGTGTTCGCGAGCATTGAACACACCTATAATATCATGGTTAGATCAGTAGCCCCGGTGGTGACCCCTGGCGGCACGAAAGTTGAGCGAGGCTCGGTGTACGTGGCAGTTGGCTTGCACGGTTGTCTCTCGCATGGGTCCCTGGTGCACGGCACCATGGGCCATCCTGCCAGGGGCCCATGTGGTGAGTCAAGCGTTGGCGCTACCGCCTTGTATTTGTTATGCCGCTGAGTGTTGCGTAATTATGTGCAAGGTTGTTTTAGCGTGTTTGAACACAATTGATGTATAATTTTTCGGCTGACGATATCGTCATTCTAAAGTAATTAAATAAAAATGTGCATTGTTTCGTTTGTTCCGACAACGTCTGCTGTGTCCGTTCACTTCAAGAGACCCCACATTTTGAGACCCCACAAGACAAGTACATACGGTGCCAAATTGCAAGATATCTGCACACCTGCCAAGTTCAAGGATTCTGAACCTTGCAGATTTCCGCAATGGGGCAGGGCTGAATTATTTGCCCTTATTTTTTTTCGGTAAAAAAAAACCCAATGACAAAAAAAATCGCGAAAAACAAGAGGGGGTGGGGAGGGGGGTCTCAATCGCAAGCACCAACATCAGCGTTGCAGTCTTATAGTCGCCGAACACACAAGGCTGGGCTTTCCCACTAAAGTGAGAGTCTCAAAGTATCAACACAACCAGCACAATATATTTCTGTTAAAACAAAAACAACTAGCATATGTCTTCCTGGGACACATGTGAACGAACGGGACGGCGCAGCTCGCTGTCGCAAAAGCACAGGTCAAAGCTATGCTTCCTACTAGATTGTTTTGACAGGAATGCCAAAACTCATCTGGCCCCGTTTTATTGCGATAGCAATCATATGAACATTCTAGGCTGGTTTTTCGTCATCACCACAGACATTCACCGTATATGTAAACCTATTTATATACATATATATGAACAATCAAGACAGAAAAAAAAAGCCACCCGTGCTTGGCGCCCAGCTTGCCGCAATCCGCTGACGTGCGCTTATCTCTCACGCATATTTTGTCCCGCAGATGGGGGGGTTGATGCTGGTGGGCGCGCGATTATTTTTTGGTGGGGAGAATCGTGTGCCTTCGGCTTTCACTGGATCGATCGCGTTAGTTGTCGGGCCCACAGAGGTCACTTCTGTCTCTGCACAGGCTTCCTTTGTGAAAAGAGCGTGCTTTTCATACGCAGCAAGGTATAACAACAGGGACACTTGTTAGTTTGTGTGCCTGTGATTATGTATCCTGCATCGTTTTTGTTTAAACAGCGCATTACAAGTAGAGTGGTAAAGGTTGTTAGTTTTGTGTATCGTTTTCGTGCGTCATTTTTTCCTGAGCAGGGCGCTGCACTTTTCGATCTGCTTGCCGTTTTCAGCGTGACATTCCAAGCTGTTGCTGTCGCATTCATTGCTTTGCCCTTGCGGCGAAACTGACTTTTTTTTAACGTATTCACTGCCTTTAATCTACAGATGCACACCCTTAGAGCTCGTAGACCGCTATCACATAGCCGTGACCATGGTTTTGTGCGCGGTGGTTGCGGCAAATTGTAGTTCCGTTTACAATCCCCTTGCGCTTGGCTGCGCACGCGCCTTCAAAACTAAGTCGTTTTATGCCATCGACAGTTGCATCTGCCGCAGTTTTGTTTGCAGAGTTTGCAGAAAGCAGCGTTGCTTTGACTGGTTGAGCGCACACTTCCGGGGTTCTGTCAGTTACGTCGTCGCTTACATGATCTTGTTAAGCGTGACTGCAGTTCGTCCATAGCGGTCGTGGCAACGACAATCACACGCACTTGAGAAGACAGTGTGTGCGCCAATCGCACGCATACTTTTGAAGCTTCGAGTAAGCTGCTGCTGGCCTTCATTCGACGGTTTCTGTACTAAAGTTCGTATCACCCGCCGCGATTAGGAAATGTGTTTGGCTGGGGAATTTCACAAATTCATATCTGTTGCGGTTTCGCATCGCTGAGGTTCCACTGTATGTTTACATGAACGCCTCTTAAACTCATTTATAATAAAATGGGGTATGTTTGAAAAGCCAAGAGCAGATTGAGCCTGGAGCTGCTTTTTTGCCAATGCAGCCAGATAACACACAGAAATCCTGGGGATTTTCATGACAACCGTACAAACGGAAGAAATGGCGGAAATCCGGGAAGCTCCCAGCCAATCCGGAACACTTGGCAGGTATGTATCTGTATTGGTAACAAACGACGACACACATTGCTACAGGAATGACACATGCGAGAGCGATGTTTGGATGATAACTGCTCTGGCCTCTCTATCTTATCACGTGGGAGGCGGATAAAAAAAATTCCTGAGAGCCAGGAGGCACTGACAAAATCGCGCCGCTTTGAAGTAGGAGGGAGAGTGCTTATCCAGCAGTTTTTGAAAAAAATGAACAGGACTAAAGGCGGTATACTGCGCTGCATTGCACCACGATCCTGGCTTGTAAAAAGCAACCACAGAATGGTTTCACGTTATCTTAACCACATGATGCAAACGAGCCGGACCGGATAAACAACCCAATCGCCAACTGATTGTAGCGCAACAGACGATCTGTTGGACACAAGCCTACACCAGAAGAGACGCTTTCGAGCTCTGCTGCTCAGCAGCCTGACTCGCCCAAGATACAGGACAACACTCTTAGACACAACGCCAGAAGAGACGCCTTCGAGCTCAGCTGCTCAATGGCCTGACTCGCCCGAGATGCAAAACGACATTCCCAGACGAACGTAGATGTCAAAGGCTGTGAGCCCCCGGCAACTGCGACCACCAGAGGTTAGGCGACCTCCAGACCGCTATTTTTTAAAATCCTCCTTGACTTCGTCTAAGGGAGGAAGAGTTGACATGCCACCTTGGAAAACAACAACGAAGTGGCACGCGCCACTGCACTGGCGCTGTGGCACGAGAACGTACCTTGTGTTGAACACGGGCTTGTAGTGACTCCAATGCTGAGCTACACTGTCAACTTGTTCATGTTTCCTGTCGTTAAATTGTCTACAGCCACAAGCAGCTGTACAAGTATATTAGTACATCAGCTATATAGTAGTAACAACATTGATAGACAAATTAGGATAAATGCGTGCCACGTCTCTGCCCAGAAACATTTATGTTCACCACATATGTTCTCAGCATTCTTGTACTAGCATGGCCATAGGTGACTAAATATTTATTCAGGGCACAATTGTGTACACATTCTGTAACAAACAAAAATGTTCTATCTTGTTGTATGGGACTGTCCCAAACCACCATATGATTATGAGGGACGCATGATCGGTTGAAGAGAGGGAAGGATACGGTGGGAAGGCGACCTTGAAAACCGAAACACACGGGAAGAAGGCAGGTCGGGTAACTTGCTTGAAAGGCCCGCAAAACACGCAACTCGCGCGTAGAAAAACTTGCAAAGAGTGCCTGTGCGCGCCGCGGTGTCCAATGCATCGGCGGCCGTGGTCAAAGAATTGTTTTGTTGCACCAGCGGGTTTGCGTGGCCTCACCGACTTTGATCTTTCGAGATTTATTCCGTGCTAATTAACAGCCGTTTTTACGCTTCCGCACGCGTGCGAAGGGCATGCTGAGCCGAGTGCAAAGTGAGTGAGAACAGGTCCTAAACATGAAACGAATCGCGAATTATGAGTCGGTGTGGTAGAGCATGCACATGCACTAGAACGATACGATAAGACAAGACGCAGACAATCGGTAAGGCGGTGGCCGACGATGTCGGCAAATGGTCTGGTCACTCCAGGCCGGTGACGCCAATGACAGTGCCAGCGATCAAAAACAGGGGAGATGGCCGACTAGTCTTCGAAAGATTGGTGACGGTGTTAAAACACGCCCCCCTCCGTCCTTTGACACCCCGCAAAAGCGGGGGGGACAAAGGACAAAAGGGTGCGTAATAAAAAGCGGTCGGGGAGAGCGGCAACTAGAGGGGCGCGGAGGCAGGATCAGCGTTTAACAATAAGAATCTATGGGCACCTCGCCGATGCCTGATCGGTGGTCGAAAGTGGTTTCCCGGGAAGTCAGGAGAGCCACGGCTGCTGGATGAAAGAACGCACGGGTGCTTTTTCATCCAGCGGCCAAGGCAGAGCGCCAACTCCATTTGCTGTAACCGAACGACGGCGCTCGGAGACGTTCATTGTAAGTGCAATTTTGTGCCATTGAAACAATGTATATTTTCACGGTCATGCGGATATTGTTCATTTTAAGTGAAAGTTCGTTTTAATTGGGGCCGTTATATGTGGGCTTCACTGTAGCCTTATTCACCTGCTTCAGCCAACTTTGGAGAAAAAGAGGATTACTCTGCTTTGCAGATCCTGATAGCAAAATTGTTCATAAAATGAAATTTCTCACCTTCTGAACTCGATTCTCGTTTCTGCTCCGTGTAGTAGCGGGCTTCCACCAATTGTGCTTCTATTCTCTGGCACAAACCGACCAGGGCATTGATTCGGCACTCTTTGCTCTGTTTTAGAGAGAAAGAAGCACCAACAAATAAGTTTTTCAGGTCAGCGATTAGTTTAGTATATACTATTTTCTTGATTGATATGTTGGGTTCAACGTTCCAAAACATATACTACTATTTTCTAATGAAACGTGGAATATGAGATGTTGAAGGTACATACTCTCAAGGAACATCCGTAATCTTCACCAAAATAATGCAATGACCACCAAGAGCTTTTTTATTCTACCATGTAGAAGTTAAAATAGGTTAAACCAGCACACCCACTAACTTCTCTCAAGTCTGTTACCCCCGAAATTTAGGTGGCAAAAGTAATTCTCAGACATGTAAGAAGCTGAGACCCGCCTTATGAGCCTCAAGGTTGATTGATATGTGAGGTTTAACGTCCCAAAACCACCATGTGATTATGAAAGACGCCGTAGTGGAGGGCTCCGGAAATTCTGACCACCAGGGGTTCTTTAACGTGTGGCCAAATCTGACCCCACGGGCCTACAACATTTCCACCTCCATCGGAAATGCAGCAGCTGCAGACGGGATTCGATCCCGCGACCTGCGGGGCTTATCAGCCTAAAGGTAGTTGGAAATATGGAATCAACGTCACAGCTGTACAACGACTGCAGAGGCAGAGTCAAGTAATGCGAAACAGTAGTGAACAAAGTTGTTCTGACACAAGGCTTGTGCGAATAAACTAATGCTTCGAATATTCGAACGAATAGTTGAGTATTCGAATTCGGTTCGATTCGAACTTAAATTATTGATATTTCCGAAGTATTCGCAATGAACGAATAAATGTATATTAATTCGCAGGTCACTATGTAGAGGTGGTTTTATTGCAATGTAGGAGTGCTAAACAGTGAAAGCACCTACTTAAAGAACATTTGCTTTGCCGTGAAGCCTTCCTTCAAATTAAAGGGGCCTTGCAACAATAACTGAACATGGTCAGAAAATGCTGCCGATCGGTAGCTGAGGCTACTAAAAACACGCGAGGCAAATATTGTAGCACAGTACATGGCCTGTAATTCACAGTAAAATTTTGAAGCTAAAAACTGCTTTCTTTCCTCAGGAAGTGACACTGCAAGCTCAAAAATCACTTGTCACAGCCTAGAAGAAATATATGGCTCTGGTCACAGGCATTGGCTGATTTGAGCATGGTGCACTTGTCGTTACCGGGATCGCCGCTTGTCCATGAGTATGTGTGCGATCGCACTGAAATGCCGCGTATTCGAAGGAAAAAAAAAAAGGTGCTCAAGGTCATGAGGTGCGTGTGGAGTACTTTGTTTCGCCGTGCCATTCCTCCCTGCTTAGCTTCCAGCTATTTCATCAAGATGAGAAGAGAGAATGCAATTGCATCGTGTGCCAATTTTTTGAGCTCTGCTCATACTGGACTGATTCTAGAAACTTTGCTGCAGTAAATTTGTGAGGCAATAAGCATGTTTACTGGCTCCATGGCTACTTGAAAAAGTGTTGCAGGGCCCCTTTAAAGAAACATGTTACCCTTAGATCAATTCTTCATTTTATTAAGCTTATTATGACAGCTTATATAATCCTAGTATAATAGATTTTAAAACATTAAGTATCTCACAGGTTATCACTCGCATCCCACCGAAACTACTACTCAAGGTTGTTTTGACTTTCTTTGAACAAAAAAAATAAATGGCATTTGCATAGAGACCCTGTTTGAATTTAAAAGAAATATTGCACAGGTTAGTTTTGTCATAATAAATATTTTCTTTTTTTTTATATGTCAAACATACCATTCGAATTCAATTCAAAATTATTCGATCGAAATCACAATTCGCTTCGAATTCGCTTCGAACCGGAAATTCTCTATTCGCACAAGCCTACCTGACACGCTTGCTTAGCTGGTGGATATTATCTTCTTTTGCTGAATGCCCGGTTTAACCCCTGTGGTTAGATGCTTTATTAAATCAGAGAAATTTCATACATTAAATCTCAAAGAACTCCATTGTATAATTGCAAAAGAAACAGCAGGAAAGACAGAGCACAAGAAAAAGCACCACACAAACAATAGCACTGCCTTATAACAAAGTGTATTCGTCAACACCATGCTTGCACCATATATTTACGCAGTCGTAAATGAAAGAAAGAAGGAACAGTGATAAACAATGGTAAAAACAATGAGAAAAAGGACAAACTACCAGCACATTGTTTGCGTCCTCCCTTTTCTTGAGCTCCATCTTTTGCGCTGTTTTGTTTCCAATATGTCGTACCAACATGTCCAAGCATACACTTTAGCTCCATTGTGCAAAGCAACGAAAAGATAAAAGAAGCTTCTGTGGTTTGAAATTACATTGCGATAACACTGACGCTTTACTGCAGCACCGACCTGTAGCTGCTCTTTGTGGATGGCTTCCATGCGTTCAAGCTGCTCTTTGAGGTCACGAACCTTAGCGTCCTGAAAAGAAGAAAAAAAGACAGTTATGTCATCTAACTGAACAGGGGTGGAACACTAATCTACAACAATCCACTTAAAAGCAGCTGCTGCACAATAACTTGCGTACCCTGCTTGAAACAGTTGACTCCAGCTGCTTCACCCGACAACTTAGTGATTCCACTTGGTTTTGTTTGACTTCCAGCTGGTGCTTCATACCTGAAAAGCAGAACAAAAGCAGCTCAGGTTTCCTGTTAATGACATACTCTGGACTGCCATTTCACTTAAACTCAGAGGCTCATTTATCCAAACAGGAAATTTAAATCTTGCACAGCCACATGTGCTGAAACCATAGGTCCGCGAGGAAAAAAGAAAAAAAAAAAAAGCACTCAATCCGACTCACACTGACCAAATTTTTTTCAACCGGGCTTACACGAGCTCAAAATCACCAAAATATCACTCACGCGTATTCACTCTGACTCAATCCGAGTCTGAGTCAGTCCGAATGAATAGACTCATGTGTGAGTGTGCTGACCTGTGGCTCAAACATGATGGCAGTGGTCATCAAAATAGTGATAACTGTATGTTCCACATGCAGCAGAAAGTTCATGCCAAGTAATTCTGAAATCGACAAAGAAATACTAGACATCTCCTTTTTGCACAAACACACACACACATACCCACATCACACACAGATACGATGTCACAGCAGATGCACAACTACTTACCTCTTCATGTACAAGTTTACAGCCAAGCTCAAAGCAATGAGCTCCTGAGAAAAAGGCAGCACAGTGTTTGGCCCAGCAAGACTCTTCAATCTGCTGACTACTGTTAATGTGATAGAGTTGTCTACAGCTACACCCAGACTTGCTTCATTACTACACCCCCTGAATTCAAAACAGAAGTTACCTTTGCTGAATACCTCAAGCTGAGTTCAGCTGCAGCGACACAATAGAAACTATGCCATCACTTCAGATTGTAGTAGCTGGGCTGCCAAGGCCTCCCCACTGCATGCTAATAGACTGCTGTAGAACAGCAGTCCATGAAACAAAAAATAGGCAGGGGAGGGGAGGTAACTTTCTTCACAATCTCTCCATTTTTTTACCCTCATATACCACCAAGACTTGCAGGAGTGCATTGTCATTACGACTACAGTGAACGTGAAATAGAGTACATCAAGCAGTTGCGAAATCTCCTAGACTATCTTTTTATTAGGCTTGTGCAAAAATTCAAACACTATGAATATTCAAATGAATATTAACATATTCAAATGTAAATTAATAAAAATTTCAAAGAATTACGAATAAACAAATAGATGCTATACCATAGATACACCCATTAAGAAGAATTCTGCACTGCCGTGAAGCCCAACTTCAAATTTAAACCAACATATCTTCACATCTATCCTTCCTTTTTTAAAATTTAAAAGCTTGTTATGATGGCTTATACGCTCTAAGTATAGTAAATTTGAAAATGTAACATATTTTACAAGTAATCACTCGCATTCCACCCAAATTCATGTTCTGCTACAATTAAAAGCTGCTTCCACTTCCTTTGGAAAAAAAAAAAATAGTTGTTTTAATTTTTTGAAAATATTGTGCCAGTTAGTTGGGTAATGAGAATTATGCTCATTTTTCTTTATATGTGACAAATACTATTCAAATTTGATGTGAAATAATTGGAACCAAACAACTAGTCACTTAAGATCTGAAATTTACTATTCACACAAGCCTAATTTTATATATAAAATATTCTACATATAGAATCACAGTCAACGTCCGATTTTCCGGACCCTTGATTGATATGTGGGGTTTAACATCCCAAAACCACCATATGATTATGAGAGACGCCGTAGTGGAGGGCTCCGGAAATTTTGACCACCTGGGGTTCTTTAACGTGCACCCAAATCTGAGCACACGGGCCTACAGCATTTCCGCCTCCATCAAAAATGCAGCCGCCGCAGCCGGGATTCGATCCAGCGACCTGCGGGTCAGCAGCCGAGTACCTTAGCCACTAGACCACCCCGGCGGGGTTTCCTGGACCCTCAAGGAACCCTCGAAAACGTTTGAAAAATTCGGAAAAACGAATGCAGGTGAAAACGCACCTTTTTCTAAAGGTATTTTTCGCTGACGGAGAGGGTAACGACCGGAGTACAAGATTCCCAATGCAATTCATCCGTTTAAGTGGCTTTGAAAAGAGCCGTCTATAAATAAATGAATAAGATGACATGGCCGGCACTACCCCATAGGTCAGCACTTGAGCGCAAAGAAGTCGCCTATTTTCTTTTGCACAGCGTTTCGCTTGGCCGCGATCATGTCTGCCTCAATTTCAGTCAACGTCATGTTGCCGCTGTACACTGATGACAGTGTCATCCGTGAACGCGTCAACTCCGAGCTCGTTGGCTGTGTAGAGATGGCTGTTCGTTCTCGGTGTTTGAGTCATCGGAATCCTCCGTAAATTTCATCATCGGTCAAGTCCGCAGATAGCTCGAGGTCTTTGTCAGCGTCGGCAAAGCCCTCAAAGGTTATCCCGGCTGGAATCGACATGCCGGCAGGGCACAGAACGTCGAAGGCAACATCCACGGATGGCAGTTCGTCACACACGCTGTCCACCTGGGGCGAGACGACCGTATCGGTGTTGAGTGTGAAGCCCACATGGCGAAAACAGTTCCGCAGAGTCTCTTGCATAACCACGATTCCGCTAGCATGCCGACGGCAGACCTGAGGTCAACAGCGTAGCTTTTCCCATCATGAGCCTACGAGGGGGCTTTGTGCGTTTCGAAGGTGCGGACGAAGATGGAGCAGTCAGCGCCATCACTGTAAACAGCGAATCCGCTCGACGAAATGCGCAGCACGAAACAGCTAGAAACTCGGTGCATGCTGAAGGTCGGGAAACGTGATCACTGCAGATAGCGTGCAGCAGCAAACGATCAACCGCAGACATGACCGTACAGCTGACAAAACAACACGTGAACGAACACAGTGAGGTTTGGCTTGGCTAAGCCGCTGAGCCACGGCTTGCAACACACATGCAGTTTCGAGTTTACGGTAGCCGCGGCGCGGTGCGGTGGTTGGCGGCGGTGCTGCTGGCCATACTATAGCCTCCTTTATACTGGCCATACCTGCGATGCGAGTATGGCAGGTTGGAGGACATGAAAAGAGCCAAAACGGCGGCGTCGGTGGTGACTTTGTGTCGGTGGTTAACAGTAAATAGTCCGGGAAATTGGATGCTGAAGGCTATAAGCGCCCGGAATTTCGGACATTTTAATACATTGACTCTAAGGGGAACTTGACGGAGCCACGGATGAGTCCGGGAAATCGGGCATGTCCCGAATTTTGGCCGTCCGATAAATCGGAAGTCGACTGTACATACACGATGAACTTTCTTAATGTCGACCCCTTTCAGATTCAACACATCCGGATTCGAGCATAAATATGAGTGACACATTACACTAGCTAGAACACAGAGTTCCCAACGTCGCAGGCCTTGGTCCCCAACCCTTGGTTCTCTAGACTTGAAGATGTACTTCAGTCATTCGTCCGTAGCACTGAATGACCACGAAATCGACATGCTAAACAAGATGAGATGGTTCAATGTTTCTGTCAATGGTTTTATTATTTTCATGTAAAGAAATATACTAAGCCGTTCTGCTCATGCGCCGTGATCATGAGGTGCTGTATTAAGTATATATTGTTTCCTTATCGAATAAAGATCAGTTGACAGCCTGCACTGGTCCTCGTCAACCTTTTGTTTGTGTCTTTGTGTTGTGTGCGCAAAAGTTTCATTATGCAGCCAAACCAACCAGCCCACGTTCGCGTATTATAGTAATTCGTGGTTCCCAAGCAACCTATGTGCGGTCCTACATCCTGAAAAGTGTGAATGAAGATTGGCCACATAAATTTTTTAGTGAAAGCATGCAACAGCCCCTGAGAGAAAAGAAGCAGAAAAAAAAAAAAGTCCAGGCTTGCACAGAATTCAACTCAGTCACAGTGTAAGGTGGAGGAGGAGCCTACCGTTGGACACCACAACTGTATGCAATGCTAACTGCAAGTATTAGCCTTGTGCGAATAGTAAATTTTAGATTCAAGGCGAATTCGAAATGAATAGAGATTTTGATCAAATGATTTCAAAACGAATTCGAATGGTATGTATGACATATAATAAAAAAAGAGGAATATTTATCATGACTTAACTAACCTGCAGAATATTTCTTTTGAATTGAAATAGGGGCTCCATGCAAATGCCATTTTTCTTTCACTCAAAGGAAGCCGAAACAACTTTCAGTAGTAGTTTCGGTAGGATGCGAGTGATGATAACCTGTAAAATACTTGACGTTTTAAAATTTATTATACTTGGAGCCTATAAGCCGTCATAACAAGCTTAACAAAATGAATTGATTTGGGGCTAACATGTTCCTTTAAAAGGGCCCTGCAGCACTTTTTCAAGTAGCCATGGAGCCAGTAAACATGCTTATTGCCTCACAAATTTACCGCCGCAAAGTTTCTAGAATTAGTCTAGTACAAGCGGAGTTCCAAAAATTTGCCACACGCTGCAATTGCATTTTCTTTTCTCGTCCCGACGAAAAAGCTGGAAGTTAAGCAGAGAGGAATGTCACGACGAAAAAAAATATGTCACAAGCACCTCGTGACCTTGAGTACATCTCTTCTTTTTCCTTCGAATACGTGGTTTTTCAGTGTGATCGTGCACGTACTCATGGACAAGCGGCGGCCTTCCCCGGTGGCCCCAGTAACGATGAGCGCGTCATGCTCAAATCAGCCAATGGCTCTGACAAGTGACTTTGGAGCTTGTAGTGTCATTTGCCGAGGAAAGAAAGCAATTTTAAACTTTGAAAATTTATTGTGAATTACAGACCGCGTGCTGCGCTATAATATTTGCCTCGCGTATTCTCGGTAGCCTCAACTACCAATCGGTAGCGTTTTCTGACCATGTTCAATAAGTGTTGCAGAGCCCCTTAAAATTTAAAGGAGGGCTTCGCGGCAAAGCAAATTTCCCCTGAGCAGGTGTTTTCACGGCTTAGTATTCCTACATTGCAGTGAAACGACCTTTACAAAGTGACATGCGGATTAATATACACCTATTCGTTCATTGCGAATACTTCGAAAATATTCGATAATTTAAATTCGAATCGAAGCGAATTTGAATACTCAACTATTCGTTCGAATATACGCACAAGCTTAGCAAATATTAAACATTGAAAG